CCTATGGCTTATCAAATGTTGCTGAAACTTAATCAGCAAATTAATCAGCAAATTAAAGCCAAGAGGTGCTGAGACCACAGTTCAATAATACTGGAGAGCTATAACCGTAGATTCTCATCCTGAGAGCAGAAATACAATCGGAATGCAGCATTCATGTTGGACTAAACTCCTGGTTGAGATCCTACTGTTACATGTACTGTTTATGCACACAAACAACCATATCAAAAAGAAAAAAATGTTTTATTTGCATTTTTCATCAAATCACCCTAGACGCTTATTAGTCTTTTTGATGGAAATACATTCATTCTGTGTTTTAGGAACATATGAAGAATGGTTGCAGGATTTGAGTTTGGCTAGTGTAGAGAAAAGAAGGACTAGGGGTGGGTATATGATAGTAATATTACAGTATTTGAAGGACTGCCACGAAGAGGAGGGTATCAATTTATTTTCCATAATATCAGAAGGCAGGACAAGAAGCAATGGATGGAAACTAATCAAGGAGAGAAGCAACCTGGAATTAATGAGAAACTTCCTAAGTGAGGACAATTAACCAGGGGAACAGCTTGCCTTCAGAAGTTGTGGGTGCTTCATCGCTGGAAGTTTTTAGGAAAAGACTGGAAATGGTAAAAGACTGGAAAAGACTTATCTGAAGTGGTATAGGGTCTCCTGCATGAGCAGGGGTTGGACTAGAAGATCTCCAGTGTCCCTTCCAGCTCTATTCTGATTAAATTGCCATCTTTAGAAATCAGCATGTTAGTGATTTTAGTTAACCCTGAGCCATGTGGCTTTGATCAAATCTGGAGTTAAACAGTCTCTTGAAACAGCTTCAGGCTTTGCGCATCACACTTCTCTCTTCCTCTCCTGTAACAGGCTTCTGAGCATGTATCTGGTGAATATTTAAAATATTCTGGCCGAGTTTGCAAGAGACAAAGCTCCTTTGTCAAAGCAAATCCCTTCATCTCTTTATCTCCGTGAAGAGAAGACTCAAACCACTCCCTGTCCACAATATTATTGAACTCCAACAAAGAATAATAGCCAAAGCTCTTCATTTATGTTTGTTCAAACCATCTTATGCATGCCCAGCCATTACATCCAATCTTGCATGTTGCAGAATAGCTTTTACCAGTGGCATTCATTCCTGCTATTGTCAGCCTGGTTTACCCTTCTAGGACATCCTGACATTCAAATGGCTGCTAACATCAAAATGGCATTGCCCTACTTTGTAAGTGATGTGCAGATCTCCTCCGCAATAAACAAGAGACTATTTTTGCCTCCAGCTATCCCCACCAGTTTAGAAACGATTGCAAAATTTCCTTCTTGGTTGTTTATGCAGCTGGTTCAAGCAGGCGATTGGGAAATCTTCGAGGCTAGAGTTCGGTCTGTGACTCAACTTTTCGGTGCTAATGACTGACAGAAAACTTTGTTCCTACAGCTGATTGTGTTTACATATGGTCCATCGATGGAGTGGCATTTTTGTTTTCGCATGGGAAGAACTTTCTTAAAATTCAGCAAAAGCGTAAAAATAAAAAATAAAATATAAGAAGCCCACATGCTAGGCAGTATAGGTAGTGTTGTGGTTAGCTGGTAGCAGGTACGGACAACTGAGGAGAGAGAGGACTCAGATGAGAGGCCAGAACCATTAGGGAGTGGACTGCTGCCTTCAGAGATTGTGGGGGATGACAGCAGTGATGAGGAGGTTCCCAAGGAGCCTGTGCCAAGTGCTCACGTGCACAGGATTGCTTGGAGGAAAGAGCAGCTACAACAGCATGGGCGACTTGGGAGTAAGACTGCAAGGTAATGGCCCTCCTTCAAGAAGATAAAAGGCAGCTGTGCAGCAAACATTCTTTGTAGGAAGCAAAGATATTTTGAAACTCAGCCTCGTGGACATTACAGTTGGTATTTGAAGACTCTTGTGTTGTAAACTATTTATTCTGATAAACTTATTCTATTCAGTGAAACTATTTATTCTGGTTTTTTTTGGCAGCCTTGCAAAAACTTGGCAAGGCTCTTTCTTGTCGGAGCTAATTAGCTAGAAGCAGCCTTTTAACTGTGAAGAAACAGGATTCATAGATGAAACATTAAAAGGTTGTGCTACTGCCTTTGTCTTGTGTCTGCTCTCTTGGAACCAGGTTTGGGTCAGAACAGGTAGTCCTCAACTTATGACCACAATTGAGCCCAACACTTTTGTTGAGTTTTGCCCCATTTTTCAACTTTTCTTGGCACAAGTGCTAATCAGTGAAATTCTTAAGTTAGTAACACGGTTATTAAGTGAATCTGGCTTCCCCATTGATTTTGCTTGTCAGAAGGCTGCAAAAGGTAATCATGTGACCCCAGGACATGCAACCATCATAAATATGAGTCTGTTGCCAAGCGCCTGAATTTTCATCACATGATTATGGGGATGCAACAACGGTCATGTGAAAAACAGTCATAAATCATGTTTTTCGATTCCTGTTGTAACTTTGGTCACTAAATGAACTATTGTGAGGACTATCTGTATTATGTCATGGCGGTTACCATTGGGGATAGTTAGTCTTGTAGTTTGAAGCTAATGCTGTATTTTTCCAATGAAAACATACTAATCTTGATGCTGTGCTGGTGGATAACAAACCTGACTTTCTGATACACATCTATTCTTGTGTGAATTTCAGATGTTTTGAACTATTTCCCAAAACACCACTGTGGTGGCACAGTGGTTAGAATGCAGTACTGCAGACTATTTCTGCTGACTCCCAGCTTCCAGAAGTTTGGCAGTTCGAATCTCACCAGGCTCAAGGTTGACTCAGCCTTCCATCCTTCCGTGGTCGGTAAAATGAGGACCCAGATTGTTGGGGGCAAAAGGCTGATTCTGTAAACTGCTTAGAGAGGGCTGAAAAGCACTGTAAAGCGGTGTAGAAGTCTAAGTAAAATTGCTAGTGCTATACAGGTTTCTGCAAAGCACACACACACATAGGAAAAAGCTAGTTATGGAGTTGAGCTGTTCTATGTTCTTTATTTTCATTTAATAACACTGAGCGCAGTGTAGTTTATTAGATGAGGTTATTATACAAACATAATTATCACAGAAGAAATCCTCATTATTTAATTGTATCCATGTTATAGTTATGTGTAACTATTATGTGTAGCTCACCTTCATGGCCATTGCAACATTCTGTTGCAATGTTTTTGCCTATTTCTAGCATTTTGTTCCAGTTTCAGGCAAAAAAAATGTTCATTTGGATGAAATATATTCTCTTAATGACAAAAAATGTTGTAAAATCGGCTTCAGTCTCATGGTGATCTGCTTAACATACTGTAATTCTGGATCAATGATGGACATAAGTTGAGCACTATCTGTATAACTATGAAGAGGCATTGGGATAGTCTGAACTTTGTCATGTTTCGTAGAGAACTGAAGTCACTGCTGCACAATAGCATTCAGAGTGGCTTTTCCAAGAGATTAATGAACTTCAGCACAAATGGAACAAGTTTACAGTATTCTCTTATCTTTGGTCTTCAAAGGGTTGGAAAAGGCCATATGCTTTAGCGACTTTGCAGGATTGTAACTGGCAGGAAATGGAAATCCTCCGAATGTCTTTTAGACCTTTGATTTTGTCAGTTACTTAGTTGTTTTGTATCTCTTCGCAGAGCTGTTATTAGTTACTTGCAGCCCATTTCTAATATACCTACTTTTAGTCTGGTGGTGAGCAACGTGCAGCGTTGGTCTGATTTCTAAACACTATGCAAACAATCCATTCAGACCTCTGGAAGATGCAACTTCTCTTGCCTACTGAGTAGAAATTAAAAGGGGCAGCAGTGCTGAGAAAAATGCATGATCAAAAGGAAAAAGGCAACCAAAAAAGAAATCGGGGATAGCGAGAACTTATCCGTTTCCTCAGTTTAGCGGAGAATTGTAAATACGATCCATTTATATATAACAGAATATCAGAGTTGGAAGAGACCATGCAGATCATCTAGTCCAATCCCCCCACTTGACCAAGAAGGAGCCCCTACACCATTTCTGACAGATGGCTGTCCAGTCTCCTCCTGAAAGCCTCCAGTGATGAAGCTACCACAACTTCTGAAGGCAACTTCTGTTCCATGGGTTTTTTTCTGTCAGAAAAAATTCTCCTTATTTCCAGGTTGAATCTCTCCTTGATCAGTTTCCATCCATTATTCCTTGTCTGGCCTTCAGGTGCTTTGAAAAATAGCTTAACCCTCTCCTCTCTGTGGCAGCCCCTCAAATATTGGAATATTGCTATCATGTCTCCCCTGGTCCTTCTTTTCACTCCTGCAACTGAAAGGCATCCATCTATCTCTACGTGAGGCAATCGGGTAGGCCCTATTCGAAAATACGGCAAGCCGTCAGCAACTAGAGCCGACCCCAAATTTAGATATTTAACCGCGACAATCAAAAAGACTCTGCTTGGCCTGTCAATCACCGCCTCCGCGATAGGGAAGCGGAACCACAGCTCACAAAAGGTTAATGTTCCCTGAGAGCCAAAATGGGTAAACAACTCAGGCTGGGGGCGCGCACGAGAAGAGCAGCGCGCGGCGGATAAGACGTGGAACACCAAATCCATACTGAGCACGGCTTAAAGTTTAACCAGAGCCGAGGCGGGATTCCTTAGCCTTCGTCCAATCGAGAACGGCTAAACTACGCCCCACCGACCAATCCCGATCTTTTGCCGACCCACTTCAGCTAATCCCGCAGAAAGCGAGAAGACGCTAACTGCAAAGCGGGCGCGCGGGCGGGCGCTTCTTTGTTTTTTTTTAGATCCCGCAACTGAGTCCTCCCCCCCTCCCCCATGCGTGGTCGGGATGGGGAAAGTCTTGTTGCTTTCTCGAGAGCGCGATCCTTCTCGCGGCTCGATCCGATCACTGGCAGCGGCCGAGGCACCGATCTCCACAGCCGCTTAAAAAGACACCCCTTCCCGCCCCTGTTGGCTTTCAGCAAAGAGGGGAGAGGAGGAGGAGGAGGAAGAGGAGGGGGCGTGCCGAAGCTTGGTTTCGCCAGCCAATCGGGGCGTCCCGTTCCTTTTTGACGTCACAATCCCGAGAACCTGCAGCGGCGACAACAATAACAATAGCAGGCAGGGATTGTTCCCCGGAGCCGAGCGGCCGAGGGGGAGCGTCGAGCGGAGCCAGCCGCCAAAACAGCTCGTCGCGTGTCCGGCAGTAGCGCTTGCTGCTGGCCGGAGCCGGACAGGAACAACCCAGCCAGCAACTCAGGAGGGACCCCGAAATAGAAACGCCTCTGTCCCGCCAGCTATGGCCTCGGGCGAGTCTTCGGGAGTGCAAGAAGAGAATTTGCAGGGTAAGAGAACCTCCCTCCTTTCAAACACACAGCAGATGGGGAAAATACAAGGACAGAAAAACTTGGGACTCCTTTAAATACTGGGCCTTTTATAGAAGGGGCCTCTGAAGTTATACTTTCCCGGACTGATCAGAAACAAGGCTTCCTAGGTCAACCTAGTTTTGAAACTCTTCCCCCGCCCCCCAAAGGCTTGGAATTAATATTAATATTCCCTCTAGGACAGGTGGTCCTCGATTTACAACCTCTCATTTAGTGACCGGTGAAAGTTACCAATGGCACTGAAAAAAGAGACCTGGGATCGTTTTTTTTCACTCTTACAACAGGAAAAAGGGACTTCAATGACCATTTTTCACGCTTACGACCGTTGAAGCATCCCCATGGTTCATGTGATTTAGATTTGGATGCTTTTGATAACTGACTCGTATTTAGGACGGGTCGCCCATGTCCCGGGATCATGCAATCCCCTTTTACCATCTTTTGACCAGCAAAGTCAATGGGGGGGGGGGCGAAACCAGATTCACTTAAAGGACTGTGTCACTACTATAGCAACTGCGGAGACTGAGTTAACAAACAGGATAGAAAAAGTCGTAAAATGGGGCAAAACTCACTTAACAGATGTCTCACTTGGCAACAGAAATGTGAGGCTCAGTTGTGGTCGTAAGTCGAGGACTACGTGTAATTAAAATTTCTCTAGAATTATTTCTGGAGGGCAAGAGAAACAAAGGATGAGGAAATACCGAATGACCTGGGGTTACCTTTGCGTCATTCAGGGTTTCCTCTGTTTCTTGGAGCTATCAAACTCTTATAAGAGTTTTCTCTAGTTTGGACTTTTTCTTGCCATTGAGTTGATTTTTACCTTGGCCGGCTCAGAACCAGCAAGGGGGAATGGTTTTAAAATAGCCCGTGTTCTTTGGAAGGGGAGAAAAGACAGCTCTGTTGTAACTTAGCAGCTATGTTCCCTGGCTGTGTGGTATAGTATCCTTGCCTATGTGACTCAGCCCTTTACTAATAGCTTTTACTGTTGTAAATAATTGGCCTTGGAACTTATTGACACATTGTGCTGGTTCAGAGCTGACATCATGGGATTTATAGCCCCACGTAGAAAAACTTGGAAGTAGAATGCAACATAAAAGGGACTTCTTCCTGTTTTTAGATTGGGTTTGTAATCAAATAATGTTAGAGGTTATCTTTTCCTGGGGTTTGGTCACATAATGTGCCAAAGGAAAAGTGAGCACAGAATTATTGTTTTTATGTTTAATTGCTATTGTTCGTGAAGGAAAGTATCAGTATTTTGTCCAACTTGAGAAAAGTTCAGTAAACATTTCCAGAAAAGCTTTCCAAATATTTGGTCTTGCTTACTTTCACTTGATACAAATACTTCCTTGGGAATCATTCTAATTGATTTTGCTTGGAACTTTTAAATAGGCTGGTACAATGTGTTGATAGGTTGATGTATATCCCATAGGAAGTATACTTCATCCCTGAGTTATACATGCACAATAGATATAATACAACACACAATGTCACTTTCCCTTCCCACTCCCCAGACACTAAAAGAAATTTAAATTGAATCTTTCCTATTGGACAGTTAGGACTATAGAAACAAATGTACATTCTTCAGAGAAACTTAAATGGGAGAATAAATTAATCATACACGCAGGGTTATGTAAGATGTAAAATCTAGCACTTTTGCCACCACATTGTATATTTTATATTTTGTGAATTATGCAGTTTTAGTTCTTAGCCTTGTTTTTTTGGTGTACAGAGTAGATAAGGTACGAATCTGGCTTTTAAACATTATCTCTTTTTTTAATGAATACTCTTATACAAAGAGCATATATTATTCTCTTTTCCAATTTTCTTATTCCAAGTTAACTGGACATAGGTACATGTCTTCCATTCTCTTCTCTTGCAGTTTTGTTAGTTAATTCCTCATGAGATTCCAAAAATAGGCTGGAAGAGAAATTCAGCGGCTGTGGCTTTTCTCAAGATGAAATTAGGCCTGTGAAAAGCATTGTCTGTTAATTTGCAGTCTGCCACATTCAGATCAAAGTACCAGAGAGCTTTTATTTGCCTAAGCCTTGTGAGCAAGAACTACTGTAGCTTTTTATAATATCAGTTTGGTTTTTGTGAGGGAATGTTTCACAAGACTTAGACTGTTTATTCTTCAGGTTAGCCTAGGGAGGAATTTCTTTGGGTAACGTTCTGCAGTAATTAAATGAGATATGTTGTGTGAATGCAATCTATATCTAAAGATCTGATACCAAAGAAGCCCCATACTGCCTATTTCCTGTCAGCGGATTGTCCTTTTTTTCTGCCCATTTGACTTCCTGTTTTCACCTTCTGTATCCTGAGCATCCTGAGAATTGCAGTCCATAGAAACAGGCCAGTGAATGGCACTGTAAAATATACAGTTGGGACAGAAAACTGTCCATAAAAAAATAAGGAAGACAGATGTTTGGATAGAGGAATGTTTTCTGATAGTTCGATTCTCTTATGTCATTTCATTATAGTTCCACACAAACCCATTTTTCAGCATGATTTCGCTCCACTTACCTTAAAGTTAGCTTACTCTCATTTAAATCATGTGGATTCCAGTTTGCTACCTTTCCAATAACTAAAGACCCTTACATGTTTTTTAAACTAGTGGTATAGCCAATTATTCCTCACAATGATAATATCAGTCTGTTATGGTTACAACTTTTTATTTGTGGACTGCATCATGTTTTCTTTTAAAATGTATAAGCCTTTTAAGTAAACTTGAAAAAATTAAAAATGAGAATAGTCACATCGTGGAAAATGAGCTTGCTGTACAATTAAAATGAGCACCTTGCAGAATTATAGTTTGGTCTACTGATTTAAGACACCAGGCTAGAAACCAGGAGACTGAGTTCTAGCCCCACATGAGTGACCTTGGGCCAGTCAGTCAACCCACCCTTCACTGGGTGTTTTGTTGTGGGGAAAATAGAGGGAAAGAGCATTAGATATGTTCCCCCCTTCAAGTTATTTATAAGAGAAATAAAGGCAAGTTAAAAAATCTTTTTAAAAAAACCATTTTATACTGTATAGTCATTAGAGTGCTTGTATAGTAAATATAGAAGCATAGCTTTTGTTTTGAGCAATAGAGCCATGAGATACCGTAGATATAAAATGCTTATGCACTGCTGGGGGGGGGGGGGGGGGGGAAGGAGACGCCATATACCATTGCCACTGCAACAGAGTTTTATTATTAACAGGCAATAAGCTGAGTATTCTTTGTGCCTCCTAAAAACGCAAGCCGAGGAGGCGGTGAAGTTGGACTTGAAGCAGAATGTCAACAAACGAAAGTGGCTGGTTTCCTAATAAATCCTTGTGGTTTTTGTTCTTTGTCAATGTTTGCCAAGCAGGTTCCTGGGTAGAACTGCACTTTAGCAGCAATGGGAACGGGAACGGTGGCCAGCCGGCCAGCCAGGAACAAGTTCCTGCTTCAGTTTCTATTTATAATGGTGACATGGAGAAAATTCTTCTAGATGCCCAGCATGAGTCTGGAAGAAGTAGCTCGCGCGAGAGCTCTCACTGTGACAGGTACTCTGACAAACACACACACACACTGAGGCAGCACAGGCTGCTCACACAATGCATTACCTCCTCTTTCAGTTAAATGTTCAGGTAGTCCTCGACTTACGACCACAGTGATGCCCAACATTTCAGCTGCTAAAGGGGACATGCTGCTAAGGACCCCATTTTACGATCTTTCTTGCCATGTTTGTTAAGTGAATCTGGCTTCCCCATTGTTTGTTCCAAACCCCAGGACACTGCAATGGTCAGAAATATGAGTCAGTTGGTCACAAGTATGAAAAAGGGTCGTGAGTCACTTCTTTCAGTGCCGTTGTAACTTTGAACGGTCACTAAAAAGGAATGGTTGTAGGTTGAGGACTACCTTTACCTTCTGGCTGACTTTCAGATATTTCAACGATGTTTTTAACCAGCCATAGGCAATGCTTCTCCATGGGTGTTATCGAGGATAATGGGAGTTATAGTCTTAAAAACATGGAAAGGTACCGGACTGGGGAAGTAAATGCATGGCCCAATGTTATGCGTGGCCTCTTTGGATTCTTGAAAGCAGTGGGACCTAATTTAAGCAAAGCTAAACGTATGTTTTGTTTTTGATTTGTCTGGGTGAAAGTGTTTTAAATCAGGGCTCTCCAACCTTGGCAACGTTACGACTTGTGGACTTCACCTCCCAGAATTCCTCAGCCAGCGCATGTGCTGCCTGAGGAATTCTGGGAGTTGAAGTCCATAAGTCGCAAAGGTTGGAGACCCCTGTTCTAAATAGCTCTATTAGAAGTCTGATCCGGATGATGCAATTATCCCTGGCCTTGCAGCTGATGCCCTTTCTACTGATTGGAGACATGGTCATCTTGCCCTCATGGTGTGATCCGTTCTTTTTTCTTTTTAAGTTCAGCTTTTTATTTAAACAAAACTGGACTCGTCTATTAAGTGAGACATTCCAAAGCTAACAAGAGGCATGGCTTGGGAGAATGAAGTGATCTTTCATTGTGAAACTAAGCAAATATTAGATTAGGGTTGTATGCCACTTTTGGGACCAGTTCCAGACCTGATTAACTTGGAGATGATGTTGGCTTTTGAGAAAAACTCTGGGGAAAGCCTCTTTTGGGAAAATCTGGGCTTTGAATTGTAATTCCTTTGAGGGCTTTGCGAGTGGGCTGTCTTTCCGTTTGTAGGAATTTTGCTCCATTTCCTGAGCTCCGACCAGTTTTTACTCTCATCTCTATCCCCATCAAAGAGGTTCAGCCTCATGTTCCTAGAACTTATGTCTTCCTGCACAAATGGATGAGAACTAATCTGCTTCCACCCAGAGGTGGTATTCAGCAGGTTCTGACCAGTTCTGGAGAATGGTTAGTGGAAATTTTGAACAGAGAACAGTCAAATACCACTTCTGACTGGCCCTGCCCCCATCTATTTTCTGCCTCCTGAGTCCCATCTGATCGGCTGGGTCTTCTTTTGTTGCCCTGCCCAGGAGAACGGAGCTGGAAACCAGGTTAGTGGGATGGGGAGGGAATGGGATTTTGCAGTATCCTTCCCCTGCCACGCCCACCAAGCCATGCCCACCAAGCCAAGCCACGCCCACCAAACCATGCCCACTAAGCCACGCTCACAGAACCAGTAGTAAAAACATTTGAATTTTACCACTGCCTTAACCCCAATCCCGCCCATACACCCTGGCCACACTGATCAGGGGAAATACCAAGTTGCAAAGCTCTCCCTATGCTTTCATTTTGTCTTCACAGCTGCTAGGGAATGGTGGTACAATGGATAAGAAACATTTGGAAGTTTCCTATATTTTTCTTTATACTCCACCTCTCTCGATAGACTTTCCATCATAGCAAATTTTCTGATATTTTTTGCAAATTTATTTGGCACACGCACAGAAAGGTATGTGGTTAGAAATGCCTATAAGACGGGTGTCCTTGCAATTTTATTTCCGTTTTGTATGGAGAATGCTATGGGGACTTTTTTGGGTTGTAGGTTGTTCTCATTTAGCAACTACCTTGTACAACCATCATCAAGTTACGATGACAATGAAACTTTGTGGCCAATCCTCACATTTATGACCTTTGCAGGTCTGCACAACAAAATAAAATTGAAGTAAGATCGTAAGTACAGTCATGTTGGTGACTGGTTCACTTAATGATTGAATTGCTGGTACCAATTTTGGTTGCTAAATGAGACCTACCTGTGCCCCCATCATCAGGAATGAGGATAGCGGGACTGTAGCTGGGAGAATGGACATTGATGGATTATATTATAGTCTTTCACTGGTCCCCCGGACGGGAGGAGATGGAGTCTGATTGGCTTATGATATTTTCTGTGTTTTAAAATTCAGTAGAAGTAAAGATGATTGCAATCCATTGCATGTTTCTTGGTGAATGATTGAAAGGTTAGAGAGATTGCGGTTGTGTTAGGATCCTCAGTACTTAAAGAGTCAGGTGAAAGATGGGAAGTAGCATTATGCCATTGGCTAAAGCTATTGTCTTTGAAATGTTTATCTATTGACTTTGTCCTAATTGATACCTACATTTCCCTAGGCCAAGGGTCTTCAAACTTGGCAAGGTTAAGACTTGTGGACTTCAACTCCCAGAATTCCTGAGCTAACATGACTGGAGGAGGAATTCTGGGAGTTGGTCCACAAGTCTTAAAGCTGTCAAGTTTGAAGACCCTTGCCCGAGGCCCACGATAGCGAACCTATGGCACGTGTGCCACAAGTGGCACGCAGAACTATTTGTGCTGGCATGCGAGCCGCAGGCAAACTTACCTCACTGTGCATGCGTGTGCCTCACAGCTGATTTTTTTTGGTTGGTTTGAGGTCTTTTTCGGCTTTCCAGAGTCTTGGAAAAAGCCTCTGCAAGGCTTTTCAGGCTGAATTATAGGCCTGTTTCATCACTTCCTGTCAAACCAAAAATCAGCTGTGAGGCGCAATGCAGGTAAGGGGGTGGCGGGGGGGGGGGAATTGTGCATGCATGCACAGGGGGCAAGGGGAGGGGATGCACATTGCATTCTGGGTGGTGGTGCGCGCACAATTTTTGGCACAGGAGCCCAAAAAGGTTAGCCACTACTGTCCTAGGTGATTGTATACTGGTGCTGCATTTCTTAAGCTTAGATTGCATTTCTTCCTCTTCTTTTCTCTGGAGTATCTTTTAAAGTGTATTCCTGAAGACAGAGCCTGTCAGTCATGAGTTGCTTTGGGTGCCTTTCTGGCCATGTAAAAATGCTTTAAATAAATTAACAAAAAGAGGGAGCCCAGACAAACAACTCTTTGCATTCCAAAGCTTGTGAGTTATAAGTGCATAATTTTAAATCACACAACCACTATATACAGTAGTGTTGATGTACCTGACCACTTATCTGCCATTGGGCAAGATACTTATCCATGGCTAATTGAACTCTGGCGTAAGTTAATTTGAGTGCAGTGGGATTGCTCAACACCTGGAACCATAAAATAACCACAGGGATAGCATTTCCACAGTGGATTAGGTGATTAGCTAGTTTGTGGTTCAGTGTGTTTTGCAAACACAGCCACAAAAAGATTGAGATATTCAGGATTAGAGAACTGGATCAGACTAAACTTAACTAAAGTGCCTTTTTATATATTAAAGTTACATGTAAATTAAAATGCATTTAAAGTCAAAACAGGATTATTTTGTAATGGGGCTGATAATTAATTGGGAAGGGAAAGCTTAAGCCTTTTCTATGTAGTTATTAGTGCTGATGACATTAGAAGCTACCTACTCTTAATTGACACTATGAGGGATTCCAGGAACAATTAAATAGTAATTAATTTTTTGCATTTTTGGATGATTGTGCAAGTACTAAACAGATTGTGGTATTTGCTCACTCAGACTCCCTTTACATAGGTTGGACCCACTAAACATTTTGTGAAGAAAGCTATTACTTTTTTCACAAAACCAGAATTGCTATCCAATTTACCGTGAGAAGATGTCCCTACTTTTAAAAAAACAAAAAAACATTCTGTCCGTTTTACCAAGGTGCTCCAGAATGCATAACATACTTTTTCCTATTTCTGTTCTTATCACAATAAAGAGGCAGGCTTGGCTGCAAGATCTTAAGTAGCCTTGTGAACTTTATTGGGATTTGAAGTTAGCTTTCTATGGTCCTGATAAAACATGAATCAGTAAGTCTTGTTCTTGGTTGGTTATTCTCATTTTTTTCCCCCCCAAAGTCCACCACGTTCCCAGACACCTCAGGACGTTCACAGAACTTCAGAAGTGGAGAGTCGTGCCAGCGGAGAAAAGAATAGTTCTCAGGTAAACTGCTCACAAAGACACTCAGATAAGAATTGATTTGTGTGTGTGTGTGTGTGTAGTGTTTTTCTTTAAGAGAAGAAAATCCCTTCTTCCCGGGAGATTGTATTTTCTGCGGAGTCTCATTTATAGATGGGAAATGTGCTTTGTAGTTTTTTTAGCAGACCCGTTTCAGTTTTGGCACACAGTTTGGAAAATCACTGCATGAATGACACAGTTGTATTGGAAACTATCTAAACACTAATGCTACTTGAAGGAAAATGCAGCTGCTGGAACTTTTATTTGTTCCAAGCATGTAACTCCGGCTTAGTAAAATTGGCTTCAATACTCTTTGAACTTCTCTGCAGTATTTCTGTTGCTATCAGAAATCCAGTTAGCTAGTATGTAGGAAGCCAGTTGATCCTCTTTAACAAGGAATCTTTTCATGCTGGAAAAGCTTTCCATTTGTGAAGTGGCTTTGTCAGGATTTTGCTATTTCTCAGTTGTGACTAGTTTACCTTAATTCAGACACCAGAGAATCTCTCTTGTCAAAATTCGGCCTCATCTAACCTCAGACTTGGTTGAGTTAGCTTGGCTTGATTTGAATTTCACAGAGCAGTAGACTATTGTCGGATTGTGAAAGCTGGCTTCCAAATTCCTAGTGATTTAACTTCAGATAGAAAATGTGAGCTCATTGTATGGATGAGTGGAAGTATAGAGAAGGGTTGCTGTACAGCCCAGAGCCCCTCTCTGAATGAAATGGGCAGTTAAGAAAAAGAAAGAGATGAGAGAAAGAAAGAAAAGTAGATAGATAGATAGATAGATAGATAGATAGATAGATAGATAGATGATAGATAGATAGATAGATAGATAGATAGATAGATAGATAGATAGATAGATAGATGATAGGAGAAAGATAGATGATAGATATATAATTAAATAAGAGGTCTCCAAGCTTGGCAACTTTAAGACTTGTGGATTTCAAGCTAGGCTGGCTGGAGAATTCTGGAAGTTGAAGTCCAGAAGCCTTAAAGTTGTCAAGTTTGGGGACCCCTGAGATAGATGATAGATAGATAGATAGATAGATAGATAGATAGATAGATAGATAGATAGATAGATAGATAGATAGATAGATGATAGGAGAAAGATAGATGATAGATATATAATTAAATAAGAGGTCTCCAAGCTTGGCAACTTTAAGACTTGTGGATTTCAAGCTAGGCTGGCTGGAGAATTCTGGAAGTTGAAGTCCAGAAGCCTTAAAGTTGTCAAGTTTGGGGACCCCTGAGATAGATGATAGATAGATAGATAGATAGATAGATGATAGATAGATAGATAGATAGATAGATAGATAGATAGATAATAGAGACAGATAGATAGATGATAGATAGGCAGACAGAGAGACAGAAGGATAGATCCATGTGACACTCTCATTTATTTGTGGCTTCTCAAGCTGCATCTCTCCTGAGACTTTGTGCCTCTTTAGTACCTCCTTCACGCAAACTGTGTACTTGGACTTATATTTCTACTATGAAACTCCAGGAAAAGCCACAACGCCTTTAAGGAGCAAACAAGTGGTACCCTGGATCCAAAGTCCTTAGATATTTCTATTCTGAGAATGGACCCAGGTCACTTGATTGTACCTATCTTTGTTTTAGTCTGAAGAAGATTTTCTGGAAAGAAGGAAAGAAGTTGAACGGCTTCTGAAGAAAAATTCAGATTGGATGTGGGACTGGTCGAGTAGGCCTGAGAATATTCCCCCCAAGTGAGTGATCTTGATAATGAACAATGCAGATTTGTTTGTTTCCATTATTATAAATATACTAGCTCGATACCCGTGTTTCGCTACAAAACTATGTGGTCGGCCTTAGTTTTTGGGGAGGAAAATAAAGGGGAAAAATTCTGCTTCTGCCTACCAGCATCCATCGATATTCATCTGGCTAGAGTCCTGTCAGTGTGTGAGAGAGTTGAGGGCTGTTTGGAAACTGAAACAGTATTTGCTGTGTGAGCAAGAAGACAGCAAGGAGCCTGCACATGGCTTAACTCAACTGTTCTGTACTAAAGCTGCTTGGTGCTGTGAAACTAAAACTGAAACTCCTCTCTGCTGCTTGTGTTTTACATTTGGAACAGATTTCTTTTCAGGTGGGGAGGAGGAGTAGAACTCCTTAGCATCAGAGCGTGTTAATAATAATATACAAAATACTAATGCTCTGATGGTCATTTCGAAAAATCCTTTCTTAGTGAGCACCTAGAAGCCAAGAGGAACATATATGCCAAATTTCAAGTGTGTAGGCTTTATGATTCTGGACATTTTGTGATGATGTGTGAGTGGTATTTTGCTTTTATATATATAGATAAATGGGATTGCAAACTGTTCCGAATAAAAAAAAAATGTTTTTATCTTCTCATAAACCAGGGAATTTCTCTTTAAACACCCAAAGCGCGCAGCTACACTCAGCATGAGAAACACAAGTGTGATGAAGAAGGGAGGCATATTTTCTGCAGAATTCTTGAAGATTTTCTTGCCATCTCTGCTGCTCTCCCATCTGCTTGCCATTGGACTAGGGTAAGGATTCATTTTAGATCATCTACTCTGACAGCCAGAAATCTAGTGGGCTGCATCAACAAGACCTTCTTGACTCCTCATAGTAGTACTATTGGAGAGAGGGAGAGACCACTGCTTACCAGCACAGCACGTTCCTTAGCTGCAAAAGGTGTGGCATTCACTCCCTGACTATTCCAGGTAGGATTGAAAAAGCTGCTGCTCACAATCCTGGAAAGCTTGAGGCTGGGTTCACAAATGCTAAGATGTCATGTGGGAGCTCGGTCACTAATATTTCATAATTTACAGAGTGCACCAAAAGAGGGGAATCCAGTTTAGGCCATTGATGGTAGTCCAGATGTTGATGAAAAGCAACTTCCAGCATCCACAGGAAGCCAAGTTAATGATGAAAGATGTTGGGAATTGTACTCAACATCTGAATGGCATCAGGTGCCTGCTTCTGAGAAGACCACATATTGGCCTTACAATTTTGCAGCAGATTGCCTTCTGCTTTTTTTTAAAAGCATTTTATAAAAATACCCTGATTTTATAAATGTTAATGTGCGGAAAATATTTAGCTGGCAGGTTATCTGTACCCTACCTTGCATATACTTGTAGTCCATATGTACACATAGTCTTAAGTCCTAAAATCCTAACTGCATTATGGCTTCAAGTGTGGTGAGAATCCACTCAATGACTTCCTAGTGACTCCTCTCAGATATCAATCACATCATTTGCTGCATTGTACAACCTGACAAATATGCCTCCTATTGTTTATAAGACCAATCATTGGGGTCTTATGTTATACACTGTTGTTGCAAAAGTAGTTGTTACTCATAAATTCGCAGGTTTATGAAATGATCTAATTCATTTGTTCATAATTAAACTATGGAATGAGCATACAAATGAATGTGAAATCAGTGGAAAACATGTTTTGATACAGGTAAACCTCAACTTACAACCACAATTACATCTGGAATTATAGTTACAACTATAATTTCACCTGGAATTATAGTTTTAGGTCATGTTGGTTGCTGAACGGGTCATGGGACCATGCCCAATTTTATGGTCTTTTTTTGCCACGGTTGTTAAATGAACATCATAATCGCTAACAAATGCAATGGTTGTTAAGAAAATGTGGCAGCAAAAACTATACATTGCATTGAAGTGACCATGAGGCACTGCAAATGGCTATAAACTCAGGCCAGAAGTCAAGCATCCAAAATGCAATCATGTGATTGCAGCCATTGGAACTTCCATAATATATATCTTTTGGGGGGATCTATCATACCTTCGAATGATCATTAAGTGGTCATCATAAGTCAAGGACTACCTGTAGTATCACCTGGACTGATAATGTTATTTTCATTTTATGCTTCTAATGTATGTCAAGAATATTTTTGAACAATTACATTTGAAAATAAAATCTAGAATCTGGGAATGCCAGCTGGGCAAATGAAGTCCACACATCTTAAAGCTACCAAAATTGAAAAAAAAAGCTGCACAGATTAGTCCATTTTTGAGTGATTTGTGTCTATAGCTGACTTACATTCACAAGAAAAGAGGTGAGTTTGAAAATGCAATTGCAGTTCAAATTCATCAGAATTCTTACTTGGTTGTTTTTGTGTTTCAGGGTTTATATTGGAAAACGGTTGACAATCACAGCTTCCAGCAGCTCCTTGTAAAAAGAAATGAATTTGTCTCTTTTGCAAATTGTCACAAACTTCATCCAGGCATCATAAAGCGGTGAACTGAAGAAATTTTCAAATTGTATAATCATAATATGGGGGTGTATGTTTTATTGCATAAAAGGCTCTTGCAAAAGGAAATGAAGAATGTCCAACTACCCAACTGCTCTTATATGTAAATTCCTATTTGCATGATTTAATAATAGTGTAGCTTAGATCAGGAGTGGGGAAACCAGAACTACAATTCCAGGAAACTCCAACTTTGGGCCAGTAGCAAAGGGTATTGGGATATGTTGTTCAGCATGCACAGTGGCCCACATTTCATTTTCCTTGCTGAAGATTTTTCTTCGTTACTATTATTGCAAGAATAAACAGTGTAGGAAAAAAAAAACCACCCCCAAATATTCTGTGAATATTCCTGGGAAGGAATTAATGTACAATTTGTTTTTGTCCAGTTGCGAAAAGACTCGTGTTGATTAGTTGTGAAAAAGACACCACTGTAATTTCAAAAAAAAAGGAAGCTATGGACAACAAAAGTAGAATGGCCTAACATTTCTTAAAGAGTACACTTTTCCTACTTGAGATGAAATGAATTAGTAAGGCGCTTTGAAATGTATACATGAATCAGTGCAGTGTTTTGATATGTGTATGTCTTAATGTGGAACCTTTTCTTTCTGTTTCCAGCGAAAGTTTGTATGCAGCTGTCGAGATAATGGTTTAGTAATACATAATCTGATTTTTCTCAGTCAGCCCAAAATTGTGTGGTCAGAAAACTTATAAGAAAGAAAGCCCTTAGGAATTTCTTCCAAGAAGTTCATTGTGGGAAAATAGCATTACCCATTCCGTTTTCCCCTCTTGACTGATAAACAGAAATCTCTTGTCTCTGATTTCAAGGCATTGCTTAATGTTCTAAGTCATCACCAGTGAGTCATATTGGGGTAGCTGGGTCTGCCTTTTTAATCACAAATGCTGTAGCTGTTAGCCACTGGTCTGTTCTGTGTGAATAAATAGGAATTTGCTCAGGGTGAATGATGGCAGTTATAGAAGAAGTATCCATTTGTCAGAAGCTGCTTTGCCGTCTTCGCTTTTCCATGTTGGTTTTCTTCTTTCTTTCTGCTGTAGATGCGCAAGGAGCTGGGAATATATAGATAGATCGAGAGACGGAGGAAGGGAGGGAGGGGAAGAGAGAGAGAGAATGGTTTTTTTCCCCTCCTGCATATTGCTGTTTTTATTCTAGATGTACAACAGACCAGATCCCTGTTAATATAGAATGGAAACACAATGAGCATGAAGACAAGGCATAGATGGCTTGACATTCACACACGTTCTTTCCACATGTTCAACATTGAGTCATAGTATCTGATAGAAATGTTAAGGAAGATTCATTTCTAGTCTGAAAAATGTCTTCTGTGGTTTCCATGTTCTATTCATAAGGAAGATTTACAAAGTATGAGTGGTGGTGAGGGCAATCCAGGCTTCCCCATTCCTTACAAAAATTGGGGACTAAAGGTATAGGGCCTATGCTAGGTTCTGGACATAGTTTCAATAACCCCTAAAAGAAAATGATATTTTAAGGGAGGATATCCTTATGCTGAAAACTATGAGCAAAGGCCACAATTAAACCTGCAAGCTCAGCATTGAACTGGCATTGTTTTAAGGCCTCCCATTATACATTTTAGCTGCCTGGCTTCTAGCCTAGTAAGACTTGAGATTTTCTCGTACAAAAAAACAATGCATTGTAGCCTCTTGTTACTTTTATTTAAAGGTCTTATTGTTCATCGGTTACAATAAAGGATGAGATTCATTTAGGATTTACACGATGTATAAACCAGACAGTACAACTTATTTAATAAAGTGTCGTTAAAAAAAATTGCCTTAGCTTTATGTGTGAAGGCAGCTTCTGGGTTACAGCATGCATAGCATTGCCGAAAGGTTGGCTTGATTAAGTACTTTCATAGCTATTCTCTCAAGAGGGTTTAATTTAAAAGTGTGGGAGAGGGTAGAATATCAGTCAAGATGGCAGCTGCACCCATGAAAACAAAGTCCCACCCCCTTTTTATGTGTGTTGGGATAAGGAGGTGGGATTTCAGTCATGCAATACCAGCTGCTGGTTTTTTTGTTTTTTTTTGATTCCCTGAATATTCTGCCGTTATGGACTCCCTAATGAAAATTTGTTTTGCTCTTTTGGGGGGGGGGGGAATGATTAAGATCTATCTATATTATGTTTCTGTAGTATTGGTGTAATTTTTTTTTTCTTACACCAATTTTGATCTTATTTGGCATGTGATTTATTTTATGCTTGAGTTAGAACTGGAATGAATAACTGATACTGTGCCCCTCAGATCATCCTATTGCAATGCTGCTCAACTTTGGCAGCGTTAAATGTGTGCACTTCAATTTCCAAAATGCATGGCTGGCTGGGGAATTCTGAGAAATGAAGTCCACGCATTTTTCACAAGCTTGCATCATTTGCAGTAAATGCAATTTATCAACTGAATAACTTTTAATTTATCTAGTTGCTATATATTTATACAGGTGGAGGCACCACAGGTTTTATAGTTTGTCTTGAACAGATTCTTTTTGGAAAAAAACAGATAGCAGCTGTGTTGATGGGTTGACTTAACAGGTTTAGCGACCAGATGGTTTTTTTTAGACCATAGTTCATTATTATAAGATCATTATCTTGGTGATTGCAAATTAAATAAATACACCATCATCTGAAAAGAGAAACTTTGTTCTTTTAAATTTCATTTATTGGAAGCCGTCATAGATTTTATGAAATGGGGATTTGCCTTGATCTAGTAAATTAGCCAATATTATTCAAAAATTGCTTGTTCTTCAATTAGCTACCGTGTGATCACATTTGTACTGCTGATTTCACTTTTTTTTTTAAAAAATGAATCGAAGTATGTACAATAGTTGTATGACAATGTCACTACTGGCTATCATGTCAGATAAATGGTGAGCATATAAAATGTTTATTTTCCAGCTTTTTATCAAATCAGTAAGCTGTGAAATAGTGCATCAGATGTCCATATTTTTGTTTGCTCTGTGCTAAACCAATAAAGAAAGAGTAAACTTATATGTTGCTTTTGAATTCTCAGTGCACTAATGTATGATGAAACTAAATAAACATAAATAAAGATCTTGTGTTCTAAATAAACATCTTGTGTTCACAAGAATGCAGTAAAAAAGCTGGAACACACTTCATTAGTCCAACATATGAAAGCCACAGGTCATAGCATCGACTTCAATGGCACCAAAACCTTAGCCACTATAGAAAACCCCAGCTACAGAATCATCAGAGAAGCCATAGAAATTGATAAAAGACCTAATAGTATGAATAGAAGAGACTCCACCAGACTATCAATCATCTGGAAGCCTGCACTCACAAACAAAAAATCTCTATACCACAATCCAGGCAAGCACCTGGACACAAACAGACCCCCCCTAATACCTTCAGCCCAAACACGCCCCAGCCAGCTACCCAAATAAAACCTAGCTTCCTATTAATTAATTATTGGCCATTCACAAGAAACCAAGCTGCACTAAGAAACCCCAATGCACAAAACACAAGGTTGCCAACCAATCAAGAACACAGCAACTCAAAGACCAATAAAAACAGACCTAGACTCCCAGCCAATCAGGATGAGGAAAAAACCAGATAAAGCAGAAAGCCAGCACCAAATTCAAACCAAAAAAAACGCTGCCAAGCCTGACACACAAGATTAAAAAGAACCCAATACACAAGCCTGGGGATGGCAGAGGAGATTCTGCCCAAACTATAATAATAAAAGCACAAATATTAAGACGTGGGAAAATACCCGAAGAAACCTTAATACCATACATGTAAATACTGGCGAAAACATATACACACACACACATATATACATATATATATATACATACATATATATATATAGCGTTTAATGCAAATTTAGAAAAAAAATGAAAAAGTTTTAAAGTACACAGTACAAATTCAGGTAAACATTTAAAATTTATTAAACCTTTTGATCAAAATAATAGAACAATTATATACAAACCCATTGTATTTGTTTTGCAGGAAGGCCGGGGGGGGGGGGGGGGGAACAAAGTCAATCTAATGGTTAAATGACCTATTGGTTCCACATTTCAAGATTTGCAAATAGTGTCACAACTGATATACAGTATATGATTTTTATTTTTAGATCCACCAAATTGGTGTTAGATTCTGAGGACGAGTGGCACTCCATGAACATTGACAGGATAAGATCAGAGACACATTCCTCTTGCATACTCACACTTTTAATAATCATATTAAACCTTCATTTAATTTAGAACATTAACAAATCACCCTATCTTATCTTCAGGAAGCTCAAAGGGCCTGAATTTTAAGGGGCATTTCATAGGCACATTCAGCAGTTAACTTTACAGAAAGTGGAAGATACGTAATTTATCAAAATTGTGCCCATTGCTATTTCTTAGGTTCACTCCCAGAGATGTTTACAGTGAAATACTGGGGAGTTATTCCTACTTCTATTAAAAAAAATCATAAAAGAGATGTATTTTTCTTTACCCCTGTTTCTAGTGGAAACTTAGCATTCTATAAATACATTTCCACATCAGCCTTAAGACAACCAGGTCTAGGTCTCCTAGTGTCACAGGCCCAGATTAAGAGTTGAAATATATCTAAATGTGCTCCTGTTTGGCATAATTACTTTTAATAACATACAAGGTTGAGCTTCAGGGGCAATATACTTGCATCTGCTTATGCTTAGTTTAGTATTTTTTTTAAAAAAATATTGAAAACAAAGAACTAAGGGTAAAAAATGTAATGCACATTAATATATGCACATTACCATTAATTGTAAAGCATATTTACTATTAACCAAAACAATGATTATTGAAGGTTCTGATGTACATGGCCCATTGTGTTTAAGGCTACATGTAAGTAATTGGGCTGTTTTTCATATCACCTCTTTTGTGCATACCATATATCTTCTTTTAAACATAGAAAAGCAATACAAACTAGGGTAAAGACAACAGCTGGATACAAATTTAGAGTTTGAAGCAGTAGGACACCACCCAAAACTGCTCATTTTGTATAATAAATATTTTTTGGGACAAACTATTTTCAAATCTTTCCATCGGATATCTTGCACAATCTCAATACATGCAATAAAAAAGACTGAATACATACTTTCAGATTTAAAAACACTTTTTTATAGTTCGTTATTTTTATTAAGTGGTTTACACCAGAAGGTGTGGTTATAGATACAGTTGGTGAGTAAATATACATGAAAAACCTGTCTACACACCTGACTCTAGACTTACCTATATGCTCCAAGGTAGAAACACCTAAAGCTTAGATGAAGGCCAGAGAAAGAATGCTTACAGGCATAAAGCACAAATATATGTTCTGAAAGGCCCAAATATTACAGCAGATAAAGAGCATGTGAGATAGAAATTACATTTTTATGACAATTTGTTTCTTGGGTGTTAGATTTTTGGTCTATCAACTGGAAAGGAAGGCTCAGACTTAAATAAATACATTTTTTTGAATATTGACTTTTATTAAGTATTGTCCATCAATTCTGCTTCCAGTGGGCTTTCCTTGTTTACAAAAATCAATTCCATGTTCCCCCCTCACTGAAGGCAGAAATACACCACGAACAAGTCCAGGCCAGTTTCTCTCCTTTGCCTATAAAGGGAAATAAGTGCATCAATGTTCTTTACTGGAAGGACAACAAGGCCATCTCTGACAGATAAACAACAGAGCTTAACTATTCAAGACGACAACTCTGTCCTCAAATAAGCCGTCTTTAATTAATTTTGTCTTGGAATATATACAAGTTATTGGTTGCAGCTACAGCAATGATGTTCTCTGCTGGGTGCCACGCTGTATGAAGGATCTTCTTATTGAAGTCCAGACTGTCAACACTTATTTCATCTTTCTTTCTTTTGCCACCTGTACACACTTTCCGGGGTTTTAAGATGGCTCGAGGTTTGCTACTTTCTCTTGAGGCCTCTAGTGTAATATCTCGCCGTGTGTTCCGATCAAACATCCTAAAGAAGTTGTTATAGGAGCCAGTCATAATGGCACTGTAGGAAAGGAAGAACAATATTTTACTCATTTGTTTCATCTGGATGAAAATAATTGCTATAAATGTCCACCTAAATAATCACTCAATTTCCCTCTCTTCGCTGTTCACTAAGTCAGATAAGGATTGATACTTTTTATCTTATTTTTAAATAAGAACTTTACCACACACACACACTTTAAGTAAATTGTTAATGCAATTACGAGAGAGAATTGCAAACAATACAAACTAAGGGAAATAATCTACTTTTTTATTTCATATTTATTTAATAGTCACTAATTTGCTAATACACTATAATAGTTCATATAAAATATTATGATAGAATATCACAAAATCCAGGAATGACCATGCAAATGTGCCTGACTATTGTAATGGGATTGGACTTTATTGTGACTGGCTCAATTATTCAGCTAAGCATTATTTCACTTGTTCTAGTAAGTGGATTGTTGACTCAAAGATCAGATTTGTAGATTGATGTTATTCACTCATCATTTGTGTCACCAAATGTATAGCTGATGTCTGTCACGTTAAATATATACTATCAACATATCTAGCTAATTATGCCAATTACAACTTTTTAAGAGCATTTTATGGGTACAGACATCAGGATTGGAAAGATTACCAACATTACATGTGTCTTGAGATAGAATCAGTTGAGGGTATCCTTTCCCCTGCCCCCCAAAATGCAGTTTTGGCTCCCCCGCCCCCCCCCCCCCCGGGCCATAACTGTAGAATGCCAGTTCCAGGGAGATTTACTGTAAACTGAACTCTAGTTAAATGTTTTATACAGTTTCTGGTGAAGACCACTTTTTATTCTCCAGGCTTTATAAGCTTTATCATTATACTGCAGTTCAGCATTACTTTATCTGTCGGATCAGCTCTCTCTCTCTCTCCCCCTCAAAATCAGCTGTTTTGTCATAGTGCTGCAATTTTTAAACATTCCACTTGTTTTTAAAGGATGTTCAATTTTATGGCTGCATTTTCTTCAGTTTAAATTGAATTTTATGCAATTATGCTGTTACCTAAATGCGGTCAATCTTTAATATATCACTGCCATACTTCATGCTGTCCTCAATTTATAGGCTATTTTATACGACAGCATTTTTAAAAATAATGTAGGCAGAAGAGACCAGATTCAACAGTACAGTCATCTATACTCTGTTTTGAATGGCTGGCGGTAAGTCTTAAAAACTAAAGTAATCTCCAGAATCCTTTTATGGCTTATCACTATTTTCTTTATAAAACAGATTTGAGAAATCATGCCACTGTTATTTAATGATTTGCTGTGGCATTTCTTTAATGCCAGTTTGGGTGGTTGAGGTATTAAAAGTATCTAGAATGGTGTGCTTAAAATGGAATTCATTAAATAAATGGTTAAACAAGTGGTCTGCTGCATACATTGTTTTCAAATATTGATTTCTAAAAACCTCTTTATGGCTTATCTGGGACAATACTGTCCATTCTGGCTACCAGCAGTTCTCTGGGTTAACAGGG